CTCTCCCTGTCTCTCTCTCTTACTCTCTCTCTCTCTCTCTTACTCTCTGTCTCTCTCTCTCTCTTACTCTCCCTGTCTCTCCCTCTCTCTCTCCCTCTCTCTCTCCCTCTCTCCCTCTGTCTTTCAGCCGTCGGTCCAGCGCTCTGATATGATCAGTCTGAAGTCTCGGATGCAGAACTTCGGCCTGCAGCGTTACCAGTGGCTCACACACACCTGGAACAGCTTCCAGACAGAGGTCAGAGGACACACACACACACACACACACACACACACACACACACACACTGAGCTGACAGGTCTGTGTCTGTGTGTGTGTTGTCCTCAGTTTAAATGCTGCGGGGTGATCTACTTCACTGATTGGCTGGAGATGACAGAGATGGAGTGGCCTCCTGACTCCTGCTGCTCCAATCAGTATCCAGGATGTGCTCGCCACGCCCACTACCACGACCTCAGCGACCTGCACCAAGAGGTGAGGGACCGCCGCCTCTGATTGGATGAGAGACAATCGGAGCCACGGCTGCTGTCTTCCAATCAGAGACGTCTTTTTTATTTGATCTGCTTTTCTACTGGTTTCTGTGTGTCTGCTTCCTCCTCTTCATCATCATCACCATCTGAAAGATTAACAATAAAGAAATACATACAGATATTGATATTAAATCAAATTGAATTTTCTTTTGAAAAAGTCAAGTAAAATCAAGTAAATGTTTATTTATTTAATATGTATTATTAGAAACTTCCTGCTGCTGTTCACTAATTCATTTGAGTTCATTTAGTGGTGTTCCAGTTGAAAAAACTATGAATGTTCCAGTAAAATTACTATAATAATGAAATATAAATAATATAATAATAAAATATAATAAAAATGATGTTAAATTATGTATTTATAAAACCCAGTTATATTTGAATAAAAGTCCCTGAAGAGAAGAAATTTAAGTTAAACTTTAAAAAGAATCTGCAACAACTGAAACACAAATAATAAATACAATATAATATATATAATAAATATATAATATCATTTATAAAAATGTACTTTATAAATTCTCAAATAAAAGGATTAAAAATGATTATTTAATTATTATTGTTCAAAAATGATTTTCTATTTTCTGTTGCTGTTTTCAGACTTTCTGTCAAGGAAACCATCATTTCCTGCAGATGTTTCACAATAAAAGCCTCGAAGAAGCCTGGCACTGAAAGAATACTTCCTGTAGTTTTGAGTTCTTTCTTCTTCTGTGGTTTTGTTTCAGGGCTGCGGTCCAAAGATCTACGGCTTCATTCGAGGGACGAAGCAGCTGCAGGCGCTGCGTTTCCTGGGCGTGTCCATCGGCGTGGCTCAGATCCTCGCCATGGCGCTCACCCTCACGCTGCTCTGGGCGCTTTACTACGGGAGGAAGTCTCCAGAGCCGGACCCGAACCAGGACCAGGACCCGGAGGACTCGGCCCCCCTCACCGTCACACACGGCCCCTCAACCGAAGACCCAAACAGACCCGAGACCACCTCCAAACCCGGAGAACAACGGTTTGAGATGGAGCGACTGTCCTGAAAGGGTCTCTCACTTCCTGGTTACTGAGACCTGATCCGGACCAGGATAACGGACTTCAGCTACAGACCCGATCCGGACCAGGATAACGGACTTCATCCACAGACCTGATCCGGACCAGGATGACGGACTTCATCCACAGACCTGATCCGGACCAGGATGACGGACTTCATCCACAGACCTGATCCGGACCAGGATAACGGACTTCATCCACAGACCTGATCCGGACCAGGATGACGGACTTCATCCACAGACCTGATCTGGACCAGGATAACAGACTTCAGCCACAGACCTGATCTGGACCAGGATAACGGACTTCATCCACAGACCTGATCTGGACCAGGATAAGGGATTATAAAACTATTATTATTATGATAGAAACGAGGAATAAAACTATCAAATGTGATAAAAAACCTTCTGAACTCTAAAGGAAACCTGAGGAGCTCAAAGCATTCTGGGACTTTGAGTTTTTTTCACTGAAGGAGAACATGAAGTGAAGAAGTGAAAAACTGAACATCTTTAAAGTGAACGTCTTTGTGTCTATTGGTTTGCATGGTGTTGAATATTTAATAAAATCTGTCTCACTGCAAAAAATTACGAAACATTAAAGCAGGATCAACTGTGGACGTTTGATTTAGTGACCAGACTCTGCAGATGAGGCGGGCGGGGTTAAACAAAGATGAGAAAACATTTATTATTTATGTGTATTATTGTGAAGTCTGTTTCTCCACATGTGGGATTATTTAACATATTAAATATCAAAATCAAACTATCCAAAAATATCCATCTGAACAATAAGGGTATTTCCCAAATGTTATAAACCTGAGCCAGCCCTAACTACGAACCTGAACCAGCCCTAACTATGAACCTGAGCCAGCCCTAACTATAAACCTGAACCAGCCCTAACTATAAACCTGAAC